ACATATACATATACATACAAACATATACAGACATACAAACTTGTGTGTGTATATGCACATCTCCAGCAATCGCATTTGCCTGAGCTCTCTGTTCGGCCTGGTGGGCACAGGAGAACGAGGCCAGCGGGCTTTGCCTTCTTGGCACTGGCCAGGGCTACCAAAGAGCCTGGCTGCGGTGCCATGTGGGACCCTGTAGGACTTCTGTCACTCATCGACTTGTTGAAGTTGGTGTCAGTTCGGTGGGCCCTGCGAAGAAATGATTGCACGAGCTGGCTTTCAGAATTGGTACAAGCAGGGTTTTGAAGCCAAAAGGCTCAGCCTTGTGAGAAGCCACCCAGCACCAGCTTGGCATCGCCTTTTGCTGCTGCTGCGCAGGCACCGAGACTCTCTGCGGCCTTGGACCTTAGACACGGCTTGCGATTCTCCGCATTGCTTCTGCATCGGTATTGCATTGCACTCTAGCGAGGTGCAAACGCTGATGAGTGAATCCTGCTTCGCAAGTGCTCTATCCCAATATCGGGAGACTATCGTGGTGGGGTTGTTCGCGGGTGGGCAGGTGAGGCTTCAAGGCAAATCTGTGGATTCCTTAAACAACCTATCCCTCTTCGACCTCGGACAAGATGTGCATGCGTTTACGACAACGCCGAATCAGACAGCTTTCCAAATCTCCCAACCAGGGATGATCAAGTCGAGCATGATTCTTAGCTCGAGGCAGCGTTTTCTCTATGTCCTTCTCGTTGATGCTCCTTCAGCAGCAGCAGCAGTAACAGTACAGCCGGAGCAGTACGACACCCACAAGTCGCCATCAGGAAGTCGAGCTTGCCCTTTCTTCCAATGGCGTTGAGCCGAAATGCCCTTGTAGAACTTATCTAGGCCGGTGACATCACGCCCTTGCAAGCACATTGCCGTGAAGCAGGACAGTCCGGCTCCACCACTCGCGCAGTGGCTTGCGCCATTCTTCTCGCTCGGTGTCTTGGGACTCGTCGATCGGCTGGCCAACCTGGCAGGTGCCAGGTCGGGCAGGGGGTGTAAAGAAGAAAGTCGCATGAACAAACCGGGATCGCATACCAACCGCTGATTTCGAGCCGCCCGCTGCATGACTTCTGAGCGACGGAGCTACAGTAGTACAACCAGAGTTAATTCGCTGCCATGTCATACACAACCAATGTGGAAGCGAGCTCAGTGCAGTCGAAGGCACATTCTCAACTATGTCCTCCTCCCGAGGTTGGGCACCTTGCGATGAAGATGCAGCCTGGCTACTTTACGAACTTAGGCTGCGACGACCCCGATCACAGAACCCAGCTCGCAAAGGCTCCTGCTCTGGTTGGGTGCTTCTGGCAGAACGACTCTCAGACCTTCCCTGCACAGCCGGTGAGCCAAACCGTACAGGTCGTCGCCCAGGACCTCGCGACAGCTGAAGGCGGTAGTATGCGGTAGTCATTGAAAGGCTCGGAGCTATTGCGTTCTGTGGCAAGAGACCAATCAGGCCTCGATACCATGTGCCAGGACGACTACCACTTTGGCAGGCTCTGAAGCAGCGTCGGGTTCCACAACAATACCTCCGGTGGCGGTGTCTGACAACAACGGTGCCGGGACCCTAGATGCTTGTGCCACGCGTCCCAAATTAAAGCTCCCGCCACCATCTTGAAAGTTAGGCAAGTAATGGCGGCATGGGATCGATTACAGAGAAGGCTTGGATACTTCCAGTAGATTGATGGTCGATGTCCGACCAGACCACGACGAGCTTTCCACTATCTAGCCCACAGCAACCATGAAAAATGAGGCTCCCTTCTCAAGAGGCGCATCGGAGGTCGCCGAACGTCTCCAGCCGCTGCCGTACACCCCCAGGAGAGGGCAGTCGTTTCCCTCAGAAAGCGAGCGGCAGTGGCGGCACAGCGCAAGAGAGCATAGCACACTTTAGGTCAGGCCGGCGCGCAACTACTATGAATATGCATTGCAGGGCAATCTCGGTAGAACTATTCAAGTGATCTAGTGCGGCGACGTGCGATCGGAAGTGCTTGCCAGCTTCGACCTCAGACGTGCCTGAAGGCTCGCAGCAGAGATGGCCCACGGTTTGGAAAAAGGTGATGCAGTCCATCTCCTTACTGCATACAGCAGGAGCCCTGCAGAAGCAGACTTGCACACAGATTTCCAACCGCCCACCCTCACATGCCCAACGGCAGGTCCGCATTATCCTTACAAAAGCAATCTCACACAACGTCGATACAAACAATAGTGGCTGTTCAAGCATCGCTGGTCTTTGCAGTGTCGTAGAGATGGTCGGGTATCCTCAGCAACATCATCCCCAAAAATCACAAAAAAGGAGCGCCGTGGAGTCGTGGCCACATCCCTTTCGAGCTAAAACAACTAGATTGCAGACTTCACCCCGTGCGTGTGTGTGTGTGTGCATTCATGTATGTAGAAGCATACATACACATACGTACAGGCAAGCGGGTAGGCAGGAGGGCAGGCAGGCAAGCCGGCAGGCTTGCGAGCTTGCAGGCTTGCAGGCTTGCAGGCAGGCAGATGTGCACACATCTATAAGACACAGTTACGGTGTCTTTGGAAGGGGCAACAAAGACCTTACACACACGAACTGACAGGCGCCTTCTCCCCCCCTCTCAGGTATTCTTTGCCAGCAAAGCGGCTCATCCCAAAAATCTCTCCGAAGCTCTGGGCTGACATGTTGTCGCATCAGAAACCTATGGCCGCTGGAAGATTTAGGGTTACAGTAGGGGTTTGGCCGTAAGGGCTTTGGAGCTTTGCTGCGGTCACTAACGATGGCTACCTGCAAACAGCTGCTGTTTGTCAATCACTCATGCCATTGCTGCATCGGTTCGCAAGTCGTCGCATGCGTTGTCCTTCTGCGCTCTTGCCACCCTCATGCTTTCTGCAGTAGCTGCCAGAGGCAAGACTCAACAGCTCCATGTGCCCCTAAAACCATGTTAGACAAATCTAACAAACGACTCATAGGGCCTGCACTTAATCTCAACCTAACCTGCCGGAAAGACACCAGTAGCCAAGACCATTGCCACCACCACCATCAACACCACCATCCTCATCCCCATCGTCATCATCCTCACTATGGAGGAGGCATGTGCATCTATAGATTAGGGCTCAGGTTTATGGTTTAGGGGTTCGGGTTCAGAGTTTAGGATTTAACGTTGTGTGTACATACATACTAATCTACATAATCATATACAGATATATACAAAAAATAGATGACAAAACGCGTACATGACAAGAGCTAGCTTCCCAACCGAGCTCATATGACTTCCCACCTCAAACACGCAAAACAAACAGGAGTGCTCGCTTCGAGTCGAGGTGTGATGTCGGGAATACATCTGATGCCGGCAGCTCATGTATACCACACGAACATGCTACAAAAAGACAAGCTGTACTAGGCGAATGTACTCTGTGGCAGGTACTTACCTGGGCGAAGCGAGCTGCGAGAGAAAATCTAAGCTAACCTAAGCATCCAAAAGGTTGCAAAGGCTGCGGTAAGGAAAGAAAGCTACAAATCAAGGACAAGCGAATCATGCCAACTTTTCGATCCATCGCGAATCATCAGCAAAATGCCAAATGATTACATCAGAACTGACCGCGGCAGCCAACCACATGAACGCTTGTTCGAACTGTCTTAGTCTGAATTATATGTTTGCTTCACTTCAACATGATTCAGGTTCAGCGGGCGAGAGTACTTCACGACCAGAAGCAAAGAGCGATTTGGAAAAGTTTGCGGTAAATAGTGCGAGAATGCACTGCTCAAAACATGTGAACAAAATCTTCATGCGTGACTGCCCTGAAAAGCAAGCATTACACACGTACTTTTCAACAGTAGGATTAAGCAGGACCGATGTGCAAAAAACACAATGCCGCAACGAAGTAACTCGAAGAGCTGATCACGGCTGGCCCCTTCCTCAGTTGCATAAATTCGTAGTGCGATTACGGGCTTTCAGGTCTGAGTTTCAGGGGATTTGGCGCAAGATGATAACTGGAAGACTGGCAGGTCAAATATTTGTCGGTGCTCCACCAGCTGCAGATCGTTCCTTCTGATTGGCCTGCGAGCTTTCTTGCCTTACACAAGCCTTGTTCTGCCTTTGCCTCGCAGAAGGCCCCGTTTTGCCGAGCGTCTGTGCCGCCGTCGAGAGCCCGGATATTCGCACCGCATCCCTTGAACAAAAACTTTGTGTCCTTAGATCTCTGCAACAACCTCGCGCGTGCTGTGCACGATCTCGAGCACAGTACAGCCAAGACGCCCAGGATTTTTTCTTCAAGGTGTCCTCCCCAAAGCTCGTTGATGCTTGCGCAAGCGTGTAGATAAAGTGATCTCATGCCCCCAGAGCCCGTACAACAACCTGGCCTAGAACCAAGAACCTTTTAGCCCACAGTTGCGTCCCGGAAGGAGAAGCGGGCCTAGACGGTACTAGACGGGTAAAATGACACGGGACCTCTGAGACTCAGGCTCTACACACACACACAGAGACAGGTGTCTAGTCTTGCATCAACATTGACGTCTCAAAGTATGAGAACGACACATTTGTCACATGCATCCTTGCCACATCTACCTCTTAAACAAAGCTCAGATGCGAGCAGCTCGGAATGGAAGCCGCCTTGGCAATTGTGTTGCCTTCGGCATCTACCTCGACGAGTAAGTCCTGCACATGGAGCCGGTATGGAAGCTTTCCACATCCTATGTCACAGTCCATCCCGAGCCCCAGTGAGAGTTAAGTGAAAAGCAGCCCACAGGAAGGCTCCTTGTCCTTGAGCTTCAAGCTAACCCAGCCAGATTCCGGACCTGGACACCCAACTGCATGGCCTGCTTGTTGGGAATATCTGAGGAGTGGACGTGAGCTTCAGATGGTCAAGCGTCCACAGAGCTGGCAGAGGATGGCTCTAACGCGCACTCTCAACGGCTGGTAGAGAGCACTGGCGGCTGGGATTTAAAGAGACTGAGTAGGGGTTTCCGTTGTTCTGCAGGCCTTTGCCGGAGACCAGCTCGAAGTTAAGCCGGTCACCTTCTAGCTTCAGCTCCTGTGCCGTCTCAATCCGAAGCAGGCTTGGTCCGTGCAGATGGTATAAGAACATCGGCCGGGCGTGTAAGAAGGCATACTTTTTGCTTGGCAGGTTGGTAAAGCTTCGCACATCCCTAGTGGACGTAAATCTGTCAGCTACAGCCTTTCTGTTGGGGCGCTCAGAGACCCATGCGGCCACTGTTGAGGGCGCCAGCCACGCTATCCAGGTCCCAAGAGCCCTGCGGTCCCACGTAGCCCTCGGGGAAGAGAGGAAAGAGGGGGCCCTTGACAATGAGGTTGTGGTGGATCATTCCTGAGATGGCCAACATGGCCAGGCGTCCATTGGTAAGCTCCTTCAACGCGAGATCGTCAGCAGCTGCCTTGTCCGCGGGGAGGAATCGCTTGCCGAAGTCCAGGTCACCAGGCGCGCGCTTGGCCCCGTCTCCCTCGAACATGTCCAGCATTGTGATCTTGCCACCATAGGAAGCGCTCTCAATGTAGCCAGCAAGGAAGAGCAGCACCCCAGAGGCATTCAGGGGAGCGGTGTAGACAGCCTGCAGAGCATCCGGGGCACCTTCGAAACCTGGCAATTGCCAGTACTGCTCTGCAACAAAGCCAATTGTTGCAAGCATGCAGACACGGCCATGTTTCAACTCGGCTTCCCGAAGCCACTTGATGTCAATGAGGTCGGAAAAGCCAAGAGGATCGAACTCGGCCTCACCTCCAATCAGTCCACCAAGGTTTGCAGGCTTCGGCAAGAAAGGCAGGCTCTTGCTGGAAGAGGCCGCCAGACGGACGCTTGAGCGGCTGACCCGCTCAGGAGCGGCTCCGCAGAAGCCGCTCCTGGCCTCGTTGCTCACTGCGTTGAGAACCACATCGAAGAAAGGCCACTTCTCCTGTGTGAGCACGGCAGATGTGACGATGCCAGAGTACGCGAGCATCGCCAAGCGACCGTTGCGGAGCTCCTTGACCTGCATCTCATACTGGCCTTTCGGATCCTGGGGGTAGAAGCCACGCAGACCGAAGTCTCCGGGTTTGCGATCCGTCTTTCCCTCCCGCATGTTCACATAAGCGAAAAGTCCAAGGACCTCCAACAATCCGCACCAAATGAGGATCTGAGGCATACCTCCGAACTTCACCATGGCATCATGAGCTTCAATGGTAGATACCTGGAAAGCATCACCGGGAACTCGAAGTCCCAGGTCCGTGGTGATCCATCCAACAGTTGCAAGCATTGCCACACGGCCGTGCTTCAGCTCGGCCTCACGCAGCCAACCAATCTCGAAAGCCAGGGAGAAGCCCATCGGGTCAAAGCCCTCCTCCTCACCCGGGATGCCCTCCAACGCTGGTGACATGGGAAGGAAGGGAACAGCTGCACTCATTTTGTAGCCGGCTTGTCTGGCCACCGCGCCGCGCTGGCTCGTGCTCCTGCCTGCAGCAAGAGAGCCCGTGGCGGGGGAGACAGAGGAGCTAAGTGCGCAGGTGGACTCCTTCTGGGCATAGAGCCAAGGGAAGCCATTGCCCGTCAGGGTGGCCTGCGTGATGGCTCCACCGAAAGCCAGCATTGCAAGGCGTCCGTTCTTCAACTCCTTTAGCTTCATCTCTTTGACCTTGGCAGGGTCGCTAGGAAGGAAATTCGTGCCAAGCTGGTAGTCGCCGGCATTCTCCAGAGTGAGGCCAGGCTTGTTCGAGACATTGCACGACTTGGCGAAGGTGGTCAACATCTCGATGACCTAACCAGGCGCGCGGGAAGAAGCAAGCAGCTGCCGGATGCAAGTTGAATGCTTAGTCATAGAACTTAGAACCACCTTGGACTGAGGCGGCTGCGCCGCAGAAAGCGTACACCTGGAATAGGGGTCCTGTTTGGTCCTCCGTGCCGAAGAAATTCTCGGCATTGATGATGAAAGGAAGCGGAGGATTGCCTGCACAGGCGTTGTGAGCCTCCACAACAGTCTTGGCCGCATAGCACGGGTGAGTGCCAGGGATGCGCGCAATTTCGGGCACAACCAAACCCACGAAGGCAAGCATGGCGATCCTGGACATCAAACAGAGGTGATCACACAAGAAGGTCCTGAAGGCTCAAACCCAGTGAAGTTTCGAAGTCTAGCATTGAAAGCTTATTACGGTCCTGCCGTGCTTGAGCTCAGCCTCCCGGAACCAAGGCAAATACTTCTCGCACTTGACAGACAGGCCGAGGGGGTCGAAGTTGAAGGCCTGGCCCGCAAAGGCAGACTCACCGCCGATGAGACCACCGGCGAAGGGCTTCTCGTCGGTGACGCCAGTGGCTTCAGCCCGTCGTGCTAGATTTCCGCGCTGGTGACGGCGTCCAGTGGCAGCCAGAGCCAGGGCAGCAGTGCCCACAGCCGCGGCAGCAGCCTGGCTGGCTGGGCTGGCACTCTTCTCGCTGGCCTCCGTCGCGCCGCGCAGCTGAGGTGCCGAAGGAGATGCCGACGGCGCCACGAAGGCCTGAACCGCGGCGGGGGCCCAAAGAGAGGCCGCGCCAATTGCGCCCAGGGTAAGACCCATGGAAGCAGTGGACTTTGATGCCATGCTTTCTCTGGGACTTTCAAAAAATCTAGAGGCAAAGCTGAGCCAAACTGCTTAGCGGCCTGGGCAAAGAGCTTTTAATTTAAGACTGAACAGGTCTTTGCGGGAAGACCTGCAACCGCCGTTCCTGAGCGCAGCTAAGTCTGCTGTGACAGCCGCAAGCGCGGATTGCCTTCACAAGAGCTCCCGTCGCCAAACGATCGGCAAGCTGATCAGAGGCCAGCTTCTGGCCAGACCGAACCACAATGCCGCCAGCAATTGCACCTCCGGCGAGCTACGGCTATGCGGCACTCCCAAGTCTTGGCTCGGAGGATCGCTGTGTCTCGGTTCTGTCAAAAAGAGTCATGACGGCCTCCCACCACTTTCCATGTCCTGACAAGGCCCATCTGATTGGAACGACGGATTTCATCCTAACCGAAGCGAAATGCCGTCAACGGCAAGCAGCAGGTGTAGCAGTACCAACAGTGATGACTGCGGAGGTAGCCGGGATGACGAAGGTAACGGCGATGTCAGTGGTCATGACTGTGACGGTGCCTGATTATGGTAGCAATGATGAGTATGATCATGACGGCCATGTTGACAATTGTTGAGAGTTGTGCACCATCATCATCGCCATCGACAAGGAGAACAACATCATCAGTATCATCTCAACAATATCAACATCAACAGCAGTCCCGTAAGAGCAATGCTAACGTTGCTCTCATTGTTGGCGTCTGACCGGCTTCGCAAACCTGGTTAATTCTTGATTAGACAGTCAATTGTGGCTTGGCCGCTCTTGCAAGGCGCACCTCGGGGCCATGCTGTACACGAGGTAGAGGTGGCCACACCGTGTGGCGGCACAAAACTGATACCAGAATTCTACACCGCAGCTCCCCGTTGTTGTGCAGAACTAGATTCGATCTCAGGTCCTTCGTTCCGCATGCTGCTAAATGTCATAGACAAACCTCCTCGTTGGGGTTCACGTGCAAATTTGTGAAACCTCCAGCTTATGGACACTTTTCGGCTGTGCCATTTCAAGATCAGGAAAACGTGGGTGGCTTGAACCACAAGTTGCTGCCCATGTGTTCTCCGTGGCGGCTTCGATCCATGAGCCGAGCCGAGTCATGGCAGAACCACTGAACCCACCAGCCTTCTTTGTCTGGCTTGGGAGGACCGGAGACATGCGGCCGATCTGCAGAGAGGATCGATGCTACACTCTTTTCGTTTGCCCTTTACATCTCCTGATACAGTTCACACCGTCGCACCAGTTACATGCGGCCCCTTGAACCAAGCCGTGAGTCAGTTTCTACGATAGTGTGAAGTCTCACAGCCGTTACCAGCATTCCAAAGACTCACGTCAGCCTTCGGCGCCTCGCATGATTTTTTCTTGCCTCGGGACAGCCGTACACGTCGGCATCTGGTGCTGTCACCGCTTGAAAGACACGCACACGCCGTGCTGCTGCGGCGCAGAGATAAGACTGCGGCGAGATCATGGACTTTTGCGACTTCAGCGTCTTCAGGCTGTGGGATGATGACGGCTTCGAGCTGCCGGGTTTCATCCCATTGACGGCCGGTTCTGGCAACGGGTCAGACACACGATCAGCGACGCTTTGTTGCAAGAGTCGGTCGTTGCAAGAGTCGGTCTTTGGCAACGACTTTTAGTGTCTCCACTCTGGCAGATGTCTGCGTCGTGCGCGTCGAGTATTCAAAGCACCGCTGGGAGTCAAGTACTGCATGCAGCTGGTATGCAACTCAACAGAGCCCTCTTCAGAGCGCGATACCGACATGATCACACCGCAAGGCCTATGTAGCCCATAGCTTTGGTCTTCCTGCACCTTGCAACACGGCTAAAGCTACAGGGGCAGAGCTGCGCAAATCATTGGTGTGCCAGGAGCTACTGGGCCTATGCTCGTTGGACTAGTTCCTCCAGTGATGCTATGCGGCCAATCAGCCAAAACAAAAGCATTGCTGCATTGCTGCAGATCATCATCAGGGCTGTGGCGTGGAGTGGCTGTTCAGCAAGTCGCCACAGGTTCGGCACTTCAGCCTGGTTGAAGAACAGGAGAAGCCATGACGGGGCAACAGAGCGCTTCGAGATCTCTTTAGCTGCAACCGATGATGGCTGCTGCAAGACTCCCGCTAATAGGTTTGCCAACCGTCAGAAACTGCGTGTGTCCGCTACAATCCCTTTCGAAGGGAACATGCTGATGCCGCTTGCAAAGCTGCAGAAATGCCCGCACATGCATGCTGTGCAAACTGCAATGCTCCCCCACGTTCGCGCAAACGGGCTCTCAGCACAAGGCCTGACGTACAGGCGCGTCACGCCGATGTCGCCGATGGAATGCTGGCAATAGGTCGCGCATGACGCATGCATGGATGGCTTTGCTCTTCATTTACAGCCGATGTTGGTCGAACGGCCACAAGCTCTGAAAGTCAACATGCTACGAAGGTGGTAGGAGCTTGCAAAGCTCTGGGTCGCTGGCAACTCCAGGAACGCCTGCTGCCCTGAAGGAACTGTCAAAGTAAAGTCATCGAGACCCTGCACTTGCAGTTCCCTACCCTTCCTATGAACGGAAAAAACCATGCATACTGCGCAAGGCCCACGAGCCCCTGGAAGAGACAGCTTCGCGGCATCTAGTGTGTCGAAGCAGGCTTTGTTGCCGGCTCGGGTCCAGGCATGTCTTGCAACACTCGCATGGTAGCCATGGAGCGAGCATCTAAAGAGTCCTCTTGCTGCGAATCGTCACCAGGCATGCAGTGACGAACATGGTTTGTGCGGGAAGGTTCAAGGACCCAAGACAGCCAGGCACAACACGTCCTGGGTCGTTAGCAGCCGCATGTTGTCTGTCAGCTGCACCTTTCAAGCACAACTGCTGCTATGGCGGACCTCCCTTGCACAAGCGAGCTGCAGCAGTGTGACAACCTCTTCCACTCGTTTGACCATCAAGAGAAAGATGTCTAAGAGAAAGATGTCTGCCACCATTCTAGCAAGCTGCTCACGACATTCTACTCAATCATGCTGAGCTTTCAGAGATTTCCTGGCTTTATCCCGGTCTGCCTTCCCGCTCTCCGCATAGGAGAGCTCGTAGGCACTCATGGGCAGCATCAGCTTCTCATAAACCTTGATATGGAGGTGCCCAAACCCCTGTCTGTCACATTGCGGCGGCGCTGGATAGATGACTGGTCTCTCAAAGCCAAGCTATGTCTGAGGCACCAACCCACTTCTTCAGGTCGTACACTGTGTGTAAACCGTTGAAGCATCGGCAAAATGCCTCCAACTAGAGAGCAGTCTGTCTGTTCATTCAAACCCACGTCCCGGCAACACTCGTAGAATGCAGCTGCACGATGCTGAGCCTCGTTTGTATGAGACGACCGCAGCTCGGCATACACGGTGTATGCAGAGCACGGCAATCGGATGGACCTGGCATCCACGAATAACGCAGTGAGGCTTCAGTTGGCCCCGAGTGCATGGTCTCAGTGAAATACGCCAGATTGGATCTTGCAGGGCTTGACTGTCGCCGACGCCGGTGCAATTCTGAAGTCATTCTGCTTTAATTCACGAGCATGTACGCAGCAGCCCAAGGGAGCAAAGTGTCGCCACAGGGCAGTCACTGTCACTGCATCCGGCCAGGGCACGTCGTGTTGAAGATTTTCTCAAATCCCAAACGGAAGCCAGCTATTCTCCTCGGCATGTTCTGCGGGCTGCAAAACAAATGGCAGATTCAGCAGAGTATCGCGAGAGGGCGAACCGGCTGGTGTGCAACGTCGTACGTTCCACTGAGGTGGTCTGCACTTTGCAGACTGTTTGCTGTTCGCTGATTTCAAAAGCTCGCTGGACACGTTGCAATTGTGCTGTTGTACCAGTTAGTTACACAACAACACCTGGACGTGAAATGTTAAGGGTAGCAGAAAGCAGAGCTCTCATCAGGCATTGCAGGCTGTGAATGTCGCAACTTTCAGACTGAGTTGGAGACCGTCGGACCGGTTCCTCCTCTTCCGAGGTCTGCACGCAAGCTCGCAAACCAGAAACGACCCCTTGAAGATGCAAAGATGCTGATATACTGTCTGCTGCGATTTCCCGACATTCGTGCTTTCCCCTGAACGTGCTTTGTCGATTGAAGTGCGTCTCCTGCGAATGTTGTGACGGCCTTTGACTAGTATTGAATTACTCGCACCCAGCTTCGCACTTGCCCAATTCGAGCACGGCACCACTCTATTTCCTTGCATTGCTATCACTATTGACTACTCCTAAGACGACGACGACGACGACTACTACTAGTGCTATCATACTCCGAACCTGACGACGACTCGGACCAGGACGAGGACTTGGGCCAGGACTACGGCAGGGCTCGGGCTGTGGCCAGCAGCTTGGGCTTGGGCTAGGACTCGGCTAGGACTCGGACTCGACTGGGACCAGGAATAGGACCACAACGTCGACGGCGACAGGTGTAAACAAGTGTCGCACCTCACCGCTCGGCCGACGACCCGAACGCGGTCCGTCCTGCTGCGTGTGGGTGGTTCCTCATTTCTTGCCGGAAATGTGTTCCCCAGCATCTCTGAGTCTGCATCAAGGAAGGAATGCGCTCTCAGAAGCAATGAAAATCCACGCAGATGCCCACAGACGACAGTACCAGCATGTACCAGCCTTCTTGCGCGGAAATTTGTGACCTCGGGCTTTGTCCAAGCACAGCTGCAAATGACAGACAGGATTCATGCCGACAGCTTGCCGTCAATCAACACAGCCGCTATCCCCGGCCTCTAAAAGCATACGAAAACTGGTATGTGATCGTTCTGGTTTCGGGGTAACAATGCCGACCGATCCTTGCGGTACGATTCCACATACCTTCGAACCAGCATACTGGCGAATTTGAATGGGTTTGCCGGTTTGCATGCACGCCAAGCTAAAAAGGCCCAAACAATCAAGATCATCAAGGAGAGGGGGCCGTTGCAAGTGGAAGCCCTGCATGTCATGTCAGCATCAAAGCCGTGCTGTCCTTGCAATACTGAGCCAGTGGACGAAGTACGAGGAAAATGAGATGAGCCCAAGTTAGGCATCCCGCCAGAAGTCTTTACAGATCTTTACAGACTTGCAGACACAGGCGATGGCGAAACGGCGAAACTGACGCCCTGAGCCTCACACGCAAGGCCGACACGCGATCGGCTTCGTATGGCGAGTCGAAGAAGCGAGCCTCAGCAGCCGATTCTCTTCGAAGCACTGGTTGCAATCAGGTTTTCTACCCTCCATGTGGAGTTGAAAACTCCATGGGAGGAGCAAAAATCTGGAATGCGACGGACAAGACAGAGTCATCTGGGTCCAAATGTCCCTTCAGCCTTCAACCCTGACCCCAGCGCACCTCCGCTTCCGCACGCAGCTTCTCGTGCCGGTCTCCGGGATCCTCGCCACCAGAGTAGGCCGATCGGCCATACCTGGCCAAAGGTCTACAAATACCTCGCATAACCTCTTCATGTCATTGTGCCTTATGAACCAGCCCTTAGTTCATTTTTTCTGTACACAACACACACACACATATATATATATATACATTATGTATATATGTATATATAGAAATATGTATATATGTACATGTATATATAGATAGCCATCTCCAAAACGTGCGACCACCTAGAGCCCACCACCAAACTCACATCAGCGCTTGTGCCGCTTGTGTGCTGCATGACGCACTCTGAGAAGGGGTGACCTCAGTTCGGTTCCGCGGGCCGTTTGAGCTCCGTCTGCCAGGACAGACCTGAATGCAGCTAGATTAGGTTTAGGCACAAATGCCTGAAACCAACCACGCCCCTCAACGCCATGTCCTCCACGATACCCGATGCCCGAAGCTTGGACAGGACAGCGACAGCTCACTGCAGAACTACAGCTGCAACTTGCGAGCGCCCGGCTTTCCGGTGGATTCCAGAACGCTGCTCTTGCCGGGCTCCTCAGCCGGCCTGCGACCAGAGCCGAGTCTCTTTACACGCTGGGCCGTCATCCCTTTTGCTGCCTCTGCTCTTCGGAGGCCATTGGCCAAGGAGGCCTGCCAGCCCGCCCCTTGCCTCTGCAAGCCCTATCAACTGTGGATCTGCTGAAAAGCCGTGCAGACATTGGAGCGGGGAACCCCATCTTTCCACGATCGCAGAGGACGCGCTAAAGGATTTCTGACGAATGCCTGATCTCGGAAGCATTCGCTCAGGTGACGAGAACAGAGGAATTACCAGCTGCGCCCCCTCAACATGCCTGCACGAGTCTCCACCGCAGCTGGCGGGACGTGACTTGAGCCAGATCGCAACAGTCAAGTCACAAATCACAACGCTGTGGACATGCACTAGTACTCTCGGCATCTCGTAACTCGAGCCATGCGACATAGCAAACCAAGAAGTACTTGAACAACACCCTGACAAAGCCTTGCCCCTGATCCAATCGCTGGACAATTCCAATCCCGAGACGGTTGCCTGTGACGTCCCAGTGTCGAGCAATGCTGCTCTCGAGAAAACAAGCACTTACGGAGCGCCACATGCTTTTCTGGTGGCGTGTTCGATGAGCTTTGCATCATTGGCGCACCTGGCGATCAATCACTATTGAGGCGGCTGCTGCAGTCGCCTCATAGCCTCACAGCTGCCAGTACTCTGCCCATCGGTGGCTGACACTGCGTCAACTTCTTTGAACTTCGCTTCACGAAAGTTGAAGATGCCTTCTCGAGGCCCGTTCTCGTGCTGAGCTGCAGACTTATGCTTCATCTTCGCTATCGCTGTCCAAGCCTCACGCCGACATGAACCAGGACTCATGGCAGGAGATTCCTGCACCAGTGCTTCCAGTGTCAGCTCGGTGTCCGGCCTAATCTTTGGCAAAGCTGGCGGTACTTTGGGTTCAGCCTTCGGAAGAGCAACGGGTATTGACACAAGGGCATGCGCTCTGACGTTGTGCGCAGCGAAGCCATGGCGAAGATGCGTCTGCCAAGATTCTGCAATACAGTCACAACCTCGCCAGCCATTCTGCGCTCCGCTGCAAATGCAATGTCCTAACTGTACCACGCATCTGAATTAACGACATGGTGGTTCTGGATGGTGCCCTTCAAGAGTTGAAGGGACAGAAATGGGGCGCTCGTCTAAAGGGCAGAACCACCATGAGATCCGGAGAAGGCCTGCCTGATCTTCAAGCAATATGCCGCTGTACACAGTGCAGCTAAGACTGCGGACACTCTGAGACTGGCCGTCCTCTTTGCGAGGTAGGCGCCTCATGGGGGAAGGAGACTCATGGGGAAATCTGGCAGGCCTGGGCCTGGAAATGGCGCTTTCTTTGCGAAGCTCCTTTTTACAGACGTTCCTGGGCCAAGCCTTGCCGTCCTGAATTCATCGTGCATGGTAGGCTGGGTACAAAGTCTGAGTGTACCAAGGCTCCCTAAAGTTCCGAACGCTCTCCGACCTTCCCTGAGCCTGAAGACCACAGTCTGAGATTCTCTGCGCCATGTAACCAGCATGAAAAAGCAATGGAATTCGAAGGCATGCAAGAGCATCCATGGACAGACAAACTCCTGGAAGAACGCATTGCAGCCAATGCTTTTGCATGCGCTAGATGTTTGCGGACAAACCGCAGTCCGCCCGTAGAGTCGTTACGCGTCATTCGTAAAAGCTGCGCTGAGAACCTGACTCTGCACAACACTCCTCATGTCTGCTTGAGGCTAGAAAAACTAGAAAAGAACATGGTGCAACTGCAGGTTAGGGCACGGTCACCGCCCCTCGCTTGACCTCAGCGAGCATTTGAGCTCTCAGTTGCGATCCCTTTGTGTCCACTACCAGCATACTCTTGCTTGATGCCTCAGCCGCCAGCTTCGCCGCGCTTCGCGATTTCTTTCTTGTCTTTCGGGTCCTGAGTATAACTGCTTCACTTTGCTTCCCACCACCCACACGGACTCCACGTGTCTGCCAAGCCAAGGGGTGGACTGTGCAAAGAAGGTCGCGGCATCACATCATGTCCTTGTCTCGCAACTTGCAGCTATCTGGAGACAGGCGTCACCCGAGAAAAGTCAAATTCTGCTGCTCAGAGCAAGAAGGCGAGATTCGAGTCATCATGGTTATGGCTGGGGGAAGACTTGCGCAGGCCTGGACCCATACCCCAAAAACATGCCTTACAATACCGAAGGCTCTGTGATCTTGACATCCACCCCTGTGAAACGAAGCTGCGAGTAGGTGCCAAGCGACCTGTCGACTCGCGAGGTGCTCTTCGCCTGTCCTTGGCAGCCACGTGATTAGCTACTCGTTGATGCCAACTGTGGGGGGTTGATGGGGGTTGACGGTCAATCAGGGTGCCGCCAAGCCTCATCCACATGCGTGTCACGCGTCGAGGCCTTGTCCCAGTGCCGCTCGGGGGATGCTACATCCTGGAGAGTGCGGAGCTCGACTATGCCAGAATTTCCGATGCACCTGACTGAGCACCGTGCCCGATCTGTGAAGAGGCTCCGTCGGCTATCCCTTGCATCATCAGCAGCATGCATTTCTTTGGCTGTGCAGCATGCACTTTCTCATGAACACCAAGAAGTGCCATGCCAAGCAAAGTGCCGCCTCGTACGGCGACTGCGCTGGCGTGTGGCATCCCAGTCCTGCAGATGTAATCTGTCGTGCATTGTGGCTGCTGGTGCCAGCTTGCATCGGACTGCGAGCCAACCTCAAGCCGCTCATGGCGCCGGTCAGGAACAGCCGAAGGTGCCTCCTGGGCGAGCGGCGCTCCGAGTTGCCGGGATCATCTGAGCAAGAACCAACTCCGGAACTCCAGCATAGATGCTGCCTCTGCTGTGGCTCTCCGATAGTCGGCTGTGTAGCGGGATGAGGAGTCCTTTGCAAACACGATTGTCCCAGCACAACCGACACCTCGATGCTTTCGACTTCTTCAGACTGACTCAGCTGAAACGTTTTATGAAGTCGCCATCATTGAGCTGCTGTGCCAGCACCAAACAAACAAGTGTGCTTGAGTCAGGCAACACGTCTGCGCTGGCTTGGCCTGGGCACAGGACAGGGCCAAACCAGCAACCCGAGCTCGTAACTGGCTGCAGAATATCTGTGGGATTCTTTTTTGGGCGCCTGTGGGATATTTTCTGGGGGGGGAGGGAGGGGGGGTCGTCGAGCGCCTGTGCAGTGATTCTTGGAACTGGGACAGCATGTTGGCCATGCTCCGGGATCCGCCAGTACATGCGGAAAACCATGTTGGCACATCAGTACTGGCGGGTTGCATCAAGAGTGCAGAGACTAATGGTTGCTGCGGGCACGGTCCGGGATCCGCTAGGGCTTGGCAGTACTTGACTGGTGGTTAGTCGGGGGGGTGGGGCACCAAAAAATGAAAATGCATCAAAATTCAACCCAGGGTCCAAAAAAATCGTTGAAAATGAATCACAAAAACTAAATCTTATGTGCTACAGCAAGCTATCGCATAAACATAATTGATGCGGTTGCGCAGCAATTCCGAGGCTTCTGTTTTGCGTCAAGCTATTTGGGGATTGCAATTTCCAGGCTCCTGTTTTGCGGGAAGCTGTTGGAGGCTTACAATTTGTAGGGTCCTGCTTTGCATCAAGCTAGTGAGGAATTACAATTTCCAGGCTCGTCAGGCTATTGGGGAATTACAGTTTGTAGGGTTCTGTTTTGCACCAAGCTATCGGGGAATTACAAATTATAGGGTCCTGCTTTGCAGCAGACTAGTGAGGAATTCCACTTTGTGATGGGTTCCACTTTGCATGAAGCACTTTGCGAATTCCGATTTGCAGGGTCTTGTTCTGCATCAAGCGGTTAGGGGATGACACGTTGTAGGATCCTGCCTTGCATTAAACTATTGGCACGCCCACTCATTTGGCGATTCCGTTTCACCGTGTATCTTAGACACACCCCGTCATTTGGCAACTCCGGATCATCACATGTCTTAAACACGCCCCGGCGTTTGGCGATTCCCATTCACCATATATCTTAAACACGCCCCCCCCCCCCATTTGGCAATTCCGCTTCATCATTATCGTAAACACGCCCCCCTCACTTGGCGATTCCGGTTCATCATATCTCTTAAACACGGATTCATCATGAACACATCCCCTCAATTTGGCGATTCCGTTTCACCATGAATCTTAAACACTCCCCATCACTTGGCAACTCCGGTTCATCATATATCTTAAACACGCCCCCTCGTTTAGCGATTCCGATTCACCATACATCTTAAGCATGCCCCTCATTTGCGATTCCGTTTCACCATGAATCTTCCACACTCCCCCTCACTTGGCAACTCCGGTTCATCATATAGCTTAAACACGCCACCTCGTTTAGCGATTCCGATTCACCATACATCTTGAGCACAACCCCTCATTAGCGATTCCAGTTCACATCATAGCTTAGACGCGCCCCCTCATTTGGCGATTCCGGTTCATCATAAGAAATCTTAAACACTCATTTGGCGATTCCGGTTCAGTATCTTAAACACGCGCCGTCATTTGGCGGTTCCCTTTCATCATATTTCTTGAACACGCCCCCTATTTGGCGAGCCCGGTTCATAGCACCATCTTCGGAGTCAGAGAAAGATCGAACCATTTGCGAGCAAACACTTGACACATTTTATTATTGAAGCTATAATATATCATATTATACTGAAAAAATACACTTATAATCATACACTGTCTCGTATTGACAAAATAGTACTAACATTGCAACTGTGCTGTAGATATCAATAACATACATATGTACATATTATTTGCATTCATACATACATCATACATGCATACATACATGCATGCGCACATATTCTTTCCAGCAGGTTCGCACAGCTACCAGTTGGGGGGGCGTAGGCCCCCCCAATTGCAAACGCAATGCTCGCATGATTGGGCTCATTGAAAGGCTTCATGAAGGAATGACCATTGATAGCAGGCCATTCTTTAGAGAAAGTTTGCGGCTTAAAAAGCGGGGTGTTTGGGCGGGCTGGCGGGCGGGCGGGCACAGCCTCCGCAGGCAAGGGGGCGGCTAGCCCGTCTTCCTCTAAAATACCATACTATGGTATATTAGTGTACTTGTTTTTTTAATCCATCATGTTATTATGTTATATTATACTGTACTATATTATATGGAAAAGTGTACTGGATATTATAAAATATTTCATTATAATGCGTTGTATTGTATTGAACATATAGTACTTGCATTGCAACTGTGCACTGCATATCTATAACATACATACAGAAGTATACATTACACACATACATAAATACATGCATGCATACATGCATGCATACATATGTTCTACATATGTATATGTATTTTTTCTTTGTGTATGTTTACGATCTTGGATATGATGCACGAGGCCGTTACTTATCTCCGTAGTTTTGTCTTTTCCTGATTTTCTATTTGATGTGGTTCTATCGATCTCTCTTTATTTGTGAGTATGTGTATGTCGATATATACATATATATATATATGTATATATATACATACATACACATACATGTTTCGTATTATATACATACAAGCACACACACACATATATATATATATATGTATAAGATATAGACACACTCGATGTAAAAACTATATCAACATATATATACATATTTAGAGTGCACTTTTAAACTACATTTCATATGCATTTTTATACATATACATATATATATACATACACATACGTGTACATGCTCTGTTATATCTATGTAGTTCGTGTTGGTTGGCTCAGTGTTTCGTTTTCCTGTCGTTCACTTTGTTGCTGTTCGTGTGTGCGTTGTTCTTTCCGTCGTTCGCTTTTCGTTCTCTCGCCCATTATGTATTTCGTTGTTATTTCTTTGCTTCGTTCTTTCCTTGTTTATTTCGTCCTGTCTTTAGTTCTTTATTTCGATCTTTGCTTCTTTCTTTCTTTTAGATGTTTTCTTTATTTTTGTCTTTGTTGATGGCTTTAGTCAGTGATTTATCTGTTTCTTTCTTTCTCTGCTTCGTTCATTCTTTATTTATTTAGTTCCTCTTTCGTCTGTCTTTGTGTGGTATTTCGTTATAACTTCATGTTTCGCTTCGTTCGCTAGTTGGCCATGTACTTTATTTCCTTCTTTGCCTCTTATGTTATTTCTTTAATTCGTTCGTTCTTCCTTTGATTCCTTCTGTCGCTCTCGTTCTAAACTTTTGTTGATGCACGTTGAGTTTGTTTGAGGCCCCTCCCTTACTCGGGACGCGAGACGACAAGGTGCTCCTTGGGACGAGCTTCCTGCTGCGGCCTGTCCCTGGTATTTGCCAAAAAGCGTGGACGCACGGAGCGGGGTAAGTGGCAAAAATTGGTCCGAGACACACAAGCGGAGAAGCGGAAAATCAAATGCGCGGAAGCAGACAATAACAGCTGGTCCTCGGAAGCGGAGAAGCGCAGAAGCACAGACAAAAGCAAAAAGCGTACGAGGGCGACAAAGAACACATGCGAAAAATATAAGTTTCCACAAAACACGCCTGGGAAGGGTCGGAGGGAGCCCAGCATCTCGCGCATCTGGTGCTTCAAAGCTGCCCTGCTCCTGAGCTGGCAAGAAGCTCGAACTTTTGTGACAAGCCTCCCGAGAATGAGCTGCAGCCCTCCTGCAGAAGAGTATCGAGTGATTTCCTCTCTGCTTCCCGTCTGGAGAGACGGCCAAGGTCCTGGCCTGGCGGGGGGCCGAGGCAACGAAGGGACTTAGAAAAGGCAAGGAAGGGAGCTGCCAAAACGAGGCTGCAAGCCCTTCAAAAAAATCGTGCCTTGATTTCTCTGGGATTCTGGGCCCTTGCTCTACCCGGGAAAACACGCCTCGTGCGAGGTCGGAGCGATGTGGCGTCCTGAAACCCATCAAGAGTTCAACAATCCCGCTCAAGACAAGCCTACTAAGTTTCTCTTTGCAGGCAGTCCGTGTCTCTTGCCTTGAGTCTGACCAAGTGCTTCTCAACTCCGGACAACTGGACTGCCCCTCCTCGTGCTCAAGCGAGCACTGCGTAATGGTGCTGAAGCATCTTCACGAAATTCACGGTCTGACGAAGGGCAGAAGGGCGTGGAAGGGATGCTTCGTGTTTCGCTCACCCTGAACCCTGCCTGAAAGTCTCTCGGACATTTGAGGAGCATCTGACTGGTTGAGAAGGTCGCTCTCGAATGTCGGGCTTAATCTGCACAGGACGCATCTCGGACAGCCTGCGCTTTAGATCACCACTCCGAGCGTTTTTTGCGCAGCGGGCCTTCCTGGTTCGTAGCCTTGCCCTTGCCCGTCCAATCCATCCAGCGCCTCGCCGGCTCCAGGGACGGCTCGGGGCTCGGTGGCTCGCTGGGAGGCCTGTTCTTTGAGCAAGTCGTCCAATTTGAGTCCTGCCACGGCATCGCCTCAGCTGAAGGGCTCGGCGTTTTTCAGCGGGAAGCACAGGCAAGACCAGTGGCTGATGGAGCCACCAGGAGAGGCAGCGAGTAGGCTCGGCGGAGTCCTAGTCACGTAGGCAGTGCATCAATCTGACAACATGGCAGGACAAGCTGGCGTGCAGCATCTCTTGTCACCCGCAACTTCGGGCACGGTCGAAACATGCTGCTCCAAACTTCCAAACCTCATCCTCCGATGACGCAGGCGGGCCGTGACTTTCGCCGGGTCTAGTTGCAGAGAAGTGGCTTCTCCTCAGGTTCCGAGCCTCAATTGACCGTTTGCTGAACCTTTCATTTTTCCAGCTCAAGCAAAAACCAATCAAGGAATCCTGGAGCCCTGAAATCAACCCAATCCGAGCTGAGGGAAATGTCAGGTTGTGCGAGGATTTCTCGACATCATTCAGGCATTCAGGCCAGGTCCAAGATCGGAAATGAAAGCTTCGCATGAAAAGTGTCAAAGGGAGTGTACCGAAAAGAGGGCACTGCTGCGAAGATCCCTCATCTGTCACCAGTACTGGCGGCGCAAATGCTTGTCCATGCATCCCTCTGAAGCAAATGCTACGAAGTCCCTCTCACCACCTGCGTCGCTTCCTGAACCTTGAACCATGAATCCTGAAGGTGAAGGCCGTAGCTCCGCAACAACGCTGAGGGCCTCACTCTCGGGGCCTGCTGCGGCTTCTGAGGAGGACCTCTGATGACTCTATTGCGGCTTCAGAGCGAACACGAACTGGCCAAGCAGGCAGCAAGGGCGAATCCCGACCAACCCACAGAAACACCGAACCCGATTCGCTCAGTGAGCGGCTTTACGTCGTTCTCTGGAGGCAAAGTGTCCACTGTCACTTGTGGTGGGGGCACTGCCTGACCACTGCGAAAACAAAGACCCGGAGCCCCTGCTGCACACTAAACTTCACTAAACCGTTGAAGTCAGTGGCCAGCTTCCTGATCAGACTTTCCACAACGCTCGCTCAGACATGCTCTCGCTTATGCTTGTAGTCTTGTTGGGCGACCGTGGAGACGGACCCCAAAAGAAGGCCTCCGAAGGGTCCGAGTCTTCTGGCGCTTCCTCCTGACAAGACTCTCAGCTCGAAGATTGGAACGTCTGATGCAACTGCTCGACTGACAGACTTTAAAGGTCTTGTCATCGTTCTTCAAGTTGCGAGCTGGCGAAGGGCTGGCGGCCGAAACATGTTCGGCTCCTCATCTTCCTCCTCTTCCTCAAACCCAAGCAGTGCCGCGCAAGCGCGACAAGACCTGTGAAAGACACATTCAGGGGAAGCTGCACTCGGACCTACTCCGACAAGCTCTGAAAGGCCCTCCACTGCACCTGAAAAGCGAAGCCGGCCCGTGTTCCTCGTACCTGCGCGAGCGATGCACTCGGTTTCTCAGACCATCCACACTTCAAAAGTAACGATCTGTGCCTGGTTTCAACCTCCTCCGGCTGCTTTCCACAGAAGACGCACACGCCTGGCTCCACCTTTCCAGGCACGGATCACTCTCGTGCGAAGCATTGCGAAGTACTGTATGTGCTGGTGGGGCTGCAGTTATCATCGACCCTGAACGAGCGCCTGATGAAAGCTTGATGCTGACACATGACCGGCCTCATGAACACAAGTCCACCACTCATGCAGTGGATCGCTGTCCAGCCTTGGGCAGGCAGATTCAGTTCCTCAGCCTTTCCCTTCATGTATAGGTCGTAGTTGTAGGTAAGACCGACAATCCGCCACGTCTATAGTTTCGCGACTTTGCAAGAAGCACAACAACCCGACTGCTGCACGCAACAAACGTAGCAATGAACAATTGTCTTCAGAAGTGTCCGTGCTAGGCTGCCGGGCTAAAACGAGATCTAGATGAGGTGAGTGCTTCTGCTGCCAAATAAATCAGCTGAGATTCTCTGCTGTTCACAATTCATGGTTGTGAAACGCACAAGTACATGTTACAGATCCTGCACCCTCAGGTTGCGGCTCAACGGTCTTTGGAGGGACGCGGCCGCTCCAGGCACAGTACCCAGCGAGAAGTGCCAGGGCAGCCGCCAGCATGGTGCCTAAGCAAAGCCCGAGCACACCGGTCACTCCCGGATGTTTCAACCCCTGTTGCAACTTTAGTTCCGGTTGCTGTGGATGGCGGGGCTTTTCCGAGAAGTTGAAACACCTACGTACTTCAGCGGCTTCAGCAGCAAGCAGGCAACCTTACTTTACTGCCTGGAGATGAGCACACTTCGCGAAGGGCAGAGACATATACGGTCAAAGGCACCACACCGCGTTTTGCAATACATCCGATTGCCCCATGTGGTCAAAGAGCTTTCTCTCTGACGGCCGGACAGCTATGTACCGCGGCCACTTTTCTCGGAAGAGGTTTGGAAGCACGAGGGGGTTTTCAGTTTGCAGGTTAAGATAGCCGCTCATCGAAATTGCAGTGATGTGATACTACGCAAGCACCTTCATTCCCTGAAAACAAGGCACGTGCTGCAAAAATTGCTAAAAATTTTACATTGCGAGCCTTCAAACCAAAGGTAGATAAGCTTCCGCCGCGTTTTGGGCCTGCGATGCGCAAACACATCTGGTTGCCGCGGGTATAGTTATGACTGCGATGCCGACCTCGGGTCTTCCACTGTCGGACGGTCGGTGGCTGTGCTTGCTCTCCAGCATCGCGGGTACGAAGAGAAAAGTCCATTGCATGCGATGGAGCGTGTGGTGCGTACTCGGCTGGTGTTGTACAGAAGAAGAGCTTTGTACAGCTATCATCAGTTTTTTCCGCCTCTTCCTGCCAGGGTCCACTTCAAAGTGAGCAGTGCACAGTGCAGTGCTCCAGAGTATAGGGAGTGCTTAGTGCCTCAAGCCGTCTCCTTGAAGGGTGCGCTGTTAGCGACGGTATCTTACAGCAGCCTCGGGGTGGTACACAAAGAGCCGACCAATGCACTTGGGCTGCAGTAATGCTTGAGTACCTCTTGATGTTGAGCTTCCAAGCTGGCTGTTAAACGGAGCTATGACTGCGAACATTTCGTGATTGCTACCTACGTGTGTTGAAGCATCACGACATTGTGTGACATGCAGTCACTGGCTTCCGCCACGTCAGATCCTTCGGTTGAGGTTTGGAGTCACTTACAGTTTGATCACGCCGTGGAGTTTGGACGCATCTCCGAAGGCGCAGTGAGTGAGCGAGTGACTTATAGTTTGATGAGGTGGCCGCCCGCAGAGAGTTTCAATAAGGATCGCAGCATGTTTGCTTGTTTGACCATTGCCGAGCAAGTATCACAGCTCTCTCTTGAGAGGCTGGTGAAGCCTTCCGCAGTTGTTGCTCCTTCACTGGTTAAGATTGTTTGACAAACAGCGCAGACTCCATGGGGTATGGTCGTTCAGCATTTCCGTCGCTGACGTTCGGAAACTCGTGTGGTGCACAAGGAATTTGAGGAGTTGCAGTCGTGCACATCAGGTCTACGCACCTCCAAGAGTGGATGCTGCCCGGTGACTTGGCACGCTGGCAATGATGATTCCCATGTCCACAGTCACACCTTCGTCGGCAGGACGCAGAACCATAGAAGCTCAGTGCCAACTCTTCGGCCTCGGCCTCGAAAACACGACATGCCTAGCATGCACCTTCTTCCTCGTTGCTTCAATGCAGACAGCACACACTGCAGCAATTCACCACAGACAGGCCTGGTTCGCAGGCGAATGTCGCAGGAGAGAGTTGGCCGCGGATGCACTGAAGACTGGTCTCACTGGGCAAGTATCCATCCTCGCGACCGTCAGCAGCCCGATCGTCGAAAGCACTACAATACATTATGCGTTGCAAGACTCTTCTACACAGAACAACTTATGGACCTTCGAGGACCGATGAGCGCTCTTACGATCTCTTACGCAAATTCCCAGCCCAGACGGCCCCGAAGATTCCACTTGTCCTGGCACTGGGGTGTGCAAGTGCTGCGGGAAGTCACCCACAAAAGGCCACTACAGGACGGACCTCAAGTAGCAAGCAAATGCAACAGAGCCTGGCCCCATGTTCGTTCCCGAAGTCTCGTCACGTCTGACTGTGTTGGCTGTGGCTGGGGAGTGGAGGCGGGGGTCGTTATGTTCGTGACCCTTGCAAGTCGAAGGCCTCTGGCCTCAGGCACAGCCCCAATAGCTGCAGCTGCCAGACGCAAGCAAAGCAAAGATCGGAAAGTGCCGCACGGCTGTGACACTTCTGAGAAGACACGAGGATCAAAGCAGAATACCAATTGTGCCAGGCAGCTGGCAGCATAGAGCACATCGCTGGGCGCATCACAGGCTGCTTCGTCGCACCGAAAGGTGCCTGGACTGAGATCACCTGAAACACCCGCCGTCATGCTTGTCATGTTGTCACTGAGGCTTCCCGGCGCCAGCTTGATCGAAGACATGCCGCCTCGTGCGCAGCTCAAGACAGCCTCGGAGGGCACGTAGCCTCCCTCGCAGGCCGGCGTGCAGCGACCACCTGCCCAAAAGTCTGAAAAGCCAGGAGACTGGGCTTCCTGTGGGATTAAGAGGTTTACTTCTCGCAGTGATACTTGCATACGCTTTTGCTAATGTCATGTACAGTATCGCTGACGGTAGCGAGCAGTATTGGTGGTTGGCAGAAGCGGTGGTAGTAGCCGCTGCAGGGTCGGCACCTGGAGACACAGATCCGCCCTCGAGGCAGGCGGGCTCGGCTCCGAAGCTGACCTGGATCAAGCATCCCCGAGTTGAATCAACCAGCTTATGGAAATGTGGGCACATACAAAGGCATACACATGCAATCGCACCTACACATACACCTGCACAAGAACCACAAACACATAAGGGAGACACCGTCGTAGATGCATATGGCTATACCTGTAAACGCACACATGCATATAATCATACATACTCAGACATACTCATACATATTCAGACATACTGATTCATGCATGCATGCATGCATGCATGCATGCATACAGACAGACAGACAGACAGACTGACAGGCAGACACATGTGGAAATATGAATATACGGGCGGACTTACTTACACACTAACTTACTTACTTAGTTACTTACCTACCTACCTACCTACCTACCTACCTACCTACCTACTTACTCACTCACTCACTTACTTACTTACCTACTTACTTGCTTACTTACTTACTTTACACCTTTGGCCATTTCGCTTCCATTTTGGCAAACATAACTCTTTGCTCACGCATCCGTCTATTCCAGGCTTGTGGCTGCAACAACTGAATTCCTGTAAAAGAAAACGTGCGCGTAATAGTGCAAAGTGCAGCTGATGAGTACAAGCCTTCACTAAGCCCTGCAAGCATTGTTTGGGCTGCCCCTTTGCACAGCGACAGAAGCGAGAACGGCTGTAGCAACCATCACAGAAGCCACTGTGTGTCGTGGCCTGTCCCTGGCCTGCTTTAGCTCGAAGACGTAAGCGCATCCGGAAGTACCCTGAACCACCCAGCCAAGCTGCATTGAACGGAACCACCCAGCCAAGCTGCATTGAACGGTGCTTCGCAGGAAAGCTCCAGACAGACAAACTGCAGAGGGGTAAGGATGCCATCGGAACACTGCAAGGTTGACACCGAGGGCTGGTAGCCTGCAGAGGCAGAGGCTACTCTTCATCTTGACATCCGCGAAATCACTGAAGTAAGATTCCGCACAGACCGCACTCGCACCTCTATGATCATACTAATCCATGTACAGACAAGCACGGTCTGACAGTTGTTGAACGGTGTACAATAGCTTTCAAAAACATGATATCGAGGTCAAGTCTTGGATGTGCTACCATACGAAAACGTGCTGAATTATCTGGGACGAAATGCTAGGACACTGCGGGCTCATCGGGAGTTTGGGTCGGTTCCTCGGGTGATGCACGTTCAAGCTCTGCGTTGCAAACCCAGTGCGCACAAACACTTCAGCAATTGAAAAGATGTGGGGAACCAAAATATACTGACCCAATTACCTCAAGCACACAGACCAGGCAGATTGTCCCGCTGGGTCCGTATCCCCACATGTAGGCGCGAAACTAGCAATCCACAATTCAGGTGACATCCAGCCTGGCTGACAGCTGGCCGTGCAATTTTGTCCACTATCGATCATCTGCCCACTGCTGCAGCTGGGAGCCCTCAGCAACCAAGCAGAACAGGTCTCCAGAAAGCCAAAGTGCGATGCTTCAACTGGCGCCGAGTTCCTGTTGCAGCGGCAGTACCGACATTAGGAGATTGCAGGCGTCACCAGACGGCAGTCACCGAACCATTGCTGACGCGCAGCATTGAGAAGGCAACACCGGCAGGGGCCGCACACTGCGGACCCACGCTGAGTGTTGCAGGTGCAGAGGAGGGGAGACCAGGGCCTTGGGTAAGTCGGGCAGTCCATGATCTGACGCGAAAGTTTTGCAGTACAGATGCCTAGTCGGGGACTGTCTCTACTACTCAAGCTCCATGGAAGTCTTCGGCTTCCAAGGCTTCGGACAAGATGCTGGAAGACACCGCCCACAAGGTCCAGCCGGTGCTGCTCGGAATCTCCACCTCTAGTCCTTCACCTTGCCAACTGCAGAGCCTCGAGCAAGTCGGGATGACAGACTGTGGCTCAGCTCAGGATAAAGGCAGACTCAGCTATCGGCTTTCTCTGCTCTTCATGCGGCGACTCCACGCTGACGGTGCAAAGGGCGTTGTCCACGCCTGATGCGATTCCGGCACAACTAAGGTCTCGAAACTTCACGAATACCCAGCAGCCACTGCCAATCGCTAGCCAAGAAGTCGAACCCATCGTGACGTGAGGCAGTGAAGTTTAGTCACACCTTTTCAAGCCGAAGCAGACTTCGCCGAGATGATTATTCGAGCCGACCGATGATCCGCAGTAGTCAGTATGCCCGGCTAAGCACGCCCTACAGCAGTGACTCCAAAGTCTGCAGAAACGAGACACCTCCGGAAGGCAGGGTGTCCCAAACCCCAAACCCCGGTCAGCCCTAGGCCACCACTTCTAGGAATGAAATCCTGAAGGCCACAGGCCCAAAGCCTAGGACCTAGGAGCACAAAGCCCGAGTCCACCTTTTAGGAGGCTGAGTTTGGGCGAGTGCTTTCGGTGTTCCTCCGCGCCTGGCTGCAGCACTGCCTCCGAAGACATGCCAAAGACGTCGGCCAGAGTCGTTGCACCCTGGTAAGTTCAAGCTGGGAGCTTTCCTGCTTCGCATGTTGTGCTGGCACGGGTTAGGAATATGCAGCACGAGTTAGAAGAGAGCGGCGAAAATTTGGGACATGCTTCAGGCAAGCCACTTGCTCGATGTGGATAAGTTCGTCTCCTGAGCTTCGCTGTCCCACCTTTTACCAACTGTTTGTTCCATGAAACTGCAGCAAGTCATCATCAAGTTGCACACAGCCACACCCACTGAGCTGCAGAAGGGATGCCAAAAGTCGAGGAGGCTGCACCGCTAAGCCACTTGAAGTAAATCGTGCCTTGGCTCGCAGTGGGGCTCAGAGTTGTCCAGGGCACAGGTCCAGAGTCCAGAGGCCAAATTGGCAAAACGGCTCACGCACAAGCACTCCATGCTGCTTGGCTTCTATTCTCCCTTTGACCCTGTACGCGCAGCTGCCGGCCATCGCTGCGATAAATGGAAAGAGCCGGCTGCTGGCCTGGCAGGTCAAGTGTGTCACACGTTGGTACCAGTGAGCACGTTGACTGGTTCAAAACCTGCCCTGGCTTTCTCACAGACTTGAGATGGTCTTGTATGCTGCCGAAAATAACAGCTGAAAGCCTGTCATTCCTGACTCGCGTATACTTCTGGTGCAACATCCTTAGCGCAGATACTCATACAAATATGTCTGTCTGTCTCTGTCTGTCTGTCCGTCAGTCAGTCAGTCAGTCAGTCAGTCAGTCAGACAGTCAGTCAGTCAGTCAGTCAGTCTGTCTGTCTGTCTGTGTCTGTGTCTGTCTGTTTGTATGAACGCATGTATGCATGCATGTATGTGTATATGTAGGTAGGTAGGTAGGTAGGTAGGTAGGTAGGTAGGTTAGGCAGGCAGGCAGGCAGGCAGGCAGGCAGGTAGGTAGGTAGGCAGGCAGGCAGGTAGGTAGGTAGGTGTACGCACGTGTGTATACAAACATGAATATAAATATACATATATACATATATATATATATATGTGTATATATATATATATAGATATCTACGTGTGTGGGTATGTGTGTATATGTGTATGTGTATATGTGTATGTGTATGTTTGTATATACATACGCACAAATACATACACACATACACATACATGCCCCTATACCTACACCTATACTTAAACATATACATATACATATACCAAAGCGTAAGCATAAACATATGCATTTACTTAAACTTAGTGAACATGTACATATAAGTATGCATCTACCTGTACATATACAACAACATATATGTAGGAATATACATATATACATATATGTGTACCCACAAACATAAACGTGCATATATATATATTCAGATGCACACACACACACATTCAATTCTACACGTATCCATGGTTGCGCCCCGGCGGCCTGCAGGTTGAGGCTTCAAGTTTCAGGCCGGCGAATCTATAAATATACATATACATATACATATATGTGTATGTGTACACATATTTGTATACGCATGTGTGTATTCGATTTATTGCCTTTGTGGTTTCGATCGTTTTCGCTCTTGCACAGGCAAGAAACCACAATACAAATGAGCCCCGGGGGCGGTTGTTGCTTTGTTGCTTGGAACACTTTACATGTTGCATATTACATGCTACACATTAAACATGTCACATTACCTGATTACCTTTATACAACACACATGCTTGTACAAGTTGTATAGCTGCAACTGGCAATTCAAAGACGAATAGTCTGTGCAACACCCTGCCTACCAGGAGGATGGCCACGCTCCGCGTTTCCGCGCTCCAGCGATTGACCCCTGCCAGGAAGGGCGTCACGGTCGCAGGCTTCCAACAAGTGTATCCCACTAAGCTGCTTGGATGGATCCGTGAGTGTGCGAACCTTTGCCTACACATATTCAGCACGCTCTCACGGACAGGGAGCCATACTTCCACCGCTTTGTCATGGGGTGAAGGCCGTGCAGCAACGAGTCAACTGCGGCTGAGCTTATAATGCGCCACAACCCCTTCACGTGCGGTTGTCAGCTAGCACAGCCAGGCACGAACCAGGGTCTTTGGCCAGTGCAGCACACAGGAACAGGCATGCCTGTCAGCAATCGCACATCCACCACAAAAAGGATGTGATCCTCGGAACGAGGTCGAAAAGCAATGAAGCTTCTTGATTCTCACACCGGATTGCACTTGGCAACTTGCTGCTCGCGAACATTCATAAAGTCAAGCATGTGCACGTGTCCTTCTGCGAGGCTTCGAGAACTCAACACAAACAGCCTGCATGAAATCTCATGCATGTATGCATGCATGCACGCATTCACATTAAGAGCCGGAGCGAGAGCCAGAGCGAGAAACAGAGAGAGACAGAGACACAGAGACAGAGAGACATAGACAGAGAGGGAGAGAGAGGGAAAAAGAGAAGTAGGAGGAGGGAAGGGAGAGGAAGAGGGCGAAGCAAGACTGAAATTCGTTTAGAAACATCTGCAACTGGGCCTACCTGACGGCCGGTGGACACAGACCAGATCTGTCCAAGAGCCGCCACGCCAGCACGATCCAAAATTGACTCTGGAGAATTCCTCGAAATCTCTGAAGATTGAAGACCCGCCAAGGCTCGCTTATCTGACGGCTGGGCCATGGTAGCAGGGGCGGGGCCGCCGCTAGACCGAGATCCTTCCACCCTGTAAGCCTGGGATGGGCTGAGGGAAGCCATGCTATGTGAAAAGGAAATGCTGGAAAAAGACTTACACTAGGTCGCTTTGTCGTGACGGCTTCGTGGGAGCTTGGCCGGATGGATAGATGCAGGTAGCACACGCATTGTTCCAAGTCCAGGTCTGTTCTGTATGGCCTGAAACCCTAGCATATTCCTGTCCCAATTGCTCTTCCAGTGTCCAGAATAAAGCCAGGCAAGTCGGGTTTCCTATCGTGTGTCTTCGATCTCAGAGCTTGCAGCGAGCGTGAATTGCTATTGTCAACCTGGGCACTGGATGCTGGATGTCAATGACTCCTGCCAAAGGAATGCATCTGTTGTCAACGACGTCACCGAGCTGTGTCACGGAAAGCCCGGACTGAAAGCAAACTCCTGGGTAAGCCCCGGCTGCAGGAAGACGCGGGCGTCCAGCGCGACCTGGACACGCAGCAAGTGGCTGAACATGTCCCGAATGGCTGGCTGTGGCAGAACTGTGCGAAGAGATCATTGAGGCCCGGGCAGACCCGAAGCGATACTGCAGTGGGTGGCTGCGTTCCAGAAAGAGCGGGAATGCTTCAGCCATGCCGCTCAGCCTCTGGTCCGGAGAAGCTTAACATATCCAAGTGAACTCGACGTGTTTGTCCTTTCCAGCCTTCGGGAAGCCGTGTTGCTGGTGCCTGCAACATGCATGGGCCAGCACTAATTGGAGAAGAGACGACGGCGGTGGACTAGCGACTCCGGAGTGCCTGCGGCGATTTGCAGGAGTTGCGCACGGAGCGCAGCATCGGTGCCAACCTCGGTCTCCAAGTCTCAGAATTCCTCCGGGTCGGAGGCTTGCTGGGCTTAGCACCTGTTCTGGAACGGTCACAGCCGGGTCGAGAGAAGCCACCTGTTCCGAGGTGGCTGCTCCTGGCACCTGGGCGGAGATGGGAGTCAGAACCATTTAGAAGTCATTTTCTACTCTGGTTTCACTTGGGGCCTGGCGAAAGCAGCCTCGACCACCTGTGTCGTTCCAAGAGGCCCCATGAGCTTGCCTCGGTCCGAACATACATCCAACCCCTGCAGGGTCTTACGCTTGAAGTTCATGCACGTTGAAGAACTGGTGAGCATTTTTTGGAGGCGAATTGACCTCAGGAACGCAAAGTACACCAGCAGCAGGGCGAGCATGGATCGGGCGATTAGCAGCTGCGGGCTTCCGCGGCAGCTGAAGCTAATGGGAGCAGTCTGCGCCCCTGGAAGGCGGGGTGAAACACGCGGCAGGCCTTCGGAGCCATAAGCATCTTTCCATGTGGCACTCCAGACTGACTTCACCCTCTCGATGAAAGCTTCTGCCGTCTCTGTTTGTGACGGGTAAAGCGGTGCCGACACAGAGGTCACGCAGCACGTGCCACAACCGACGTAGCAAAACTTCTCGGAGACAAGCCATTCCTTGTTGGTAGTGATGACTATCTGCACAGGCCACCCCAACCGGAAGATGGAAACGAGTCCGCCCGGTTTGAGGGGCATTCCCTGAGGTTCGAAGTTTCTGGTCCCCTCAGGATACAGCACCACTCCCTTCTCAGGGTAGGCGTGGTATTTGTTGTCCCAGAAACTGGCTGTCCAGGCCACCGTGCCCTCGGCATGCTTCGTTCCGCGCTGGAAGAACCATACCCATCCATGCAGATAGCCCCAAGCCGACGTCATAGGAATTCCGAGGGCCACAAGCCATCGAGAAACGAAAGAGGGAGCCCCCAGCAAAGCAGAGTCCAGCACAAAGTCGCCCCAACTCCTGTGATTGCAAAGGAACACTGCCGGTCCCTTTGTGTCGTCAATGACCGGATGAGAGCCTGCCGTCGTCGCGAAAGTGGTTGCCATCATGCGCAAGGTGTGGTCGCCAGTGACACTAGGAGACACACGGATCCCCAGCAGAAGCAGAAGCGCACACAGCCCGTGAAGAAGCTGTCCATACAGGACCACGACAAGGAACACAGGCACACACAGTGGATTGCAAGGAGGCTTGGTCGTGGTGGTGCTCCGTGAGTCGTCTTCGATGGAGAAGGAATTCTCCGGTGCTGCCATGAGCGTATCCGTCTCCCTCTCCTGGCTCATTACGCCGACTCCTCGCGTGCGCGTAAGAGCACCGACTTGAAAGGAAGAACCTCAAGCTGCTCTAACGGGTGCTCTCCTATTGTTTTGATAGGGAGAATGCTGCACTGGTGCCTCTTGCTGAATTGCCTCGAAGTCTGTACAACATGGATCCTCTCGAGCCGTTGCACCCAAACGAGCAAAATGAAGTCAATGGACCTACCGGAGACTCTGTCTTTTTATCCAATCCAGCCTAGCAAGAGCTGCAGCTGGTTTGTGGCTTAGCATGTCTCGAGCTGTCGTGTCCGGCCCGAGAACACGACAACTCGCACTTGGAAGCGGACAGCTGGGGGTTGACTCGAGGTATCCAGGCCAGCGGGCCCAGGCACAAAGCCTTTGCAGCCCCACAGACGGAAGTAGGAAAGCTGCTACTGCCGATACAGAAAGGGCAAGAGCTCAGGTAGACGGCCCATGCTAAGCTTTCGGCCGTGAGTAGCCTGATGGCACATACACCAATTCTGCAGGTAATGTTCCATTGAGGGGTAGCTCGCAGACCTCGAGTGGCCGCTAGGCCGGTCTAGGCTGAGTGTCAGATGGTGCTCTCAGTGGATGAAAGACATGAAATGAAGAGAGGTCGTGATCATTGCAGGCTGCAAATATCCGCAGGTGTGCTTAGGGCTGTGCAGATGGCCAGGAACACAGATCCACATTTGTCCTCCAAGTGTAGGGCATAGCCAGCAAAGCACATGCGGACAGCCGTGCTTCAGCAACCGGCGCTGAACACACCATGGAAAGAGTCCTCCAATCGTTGGCTCTGTGCACGCCTTCAGCGCGAGTTGTCGGCCGAAAGGCGTCCAAAAAGCTAGCGACGCTCGCAGTGACGGTCGGGACCTGGCCATGATTAACTGATCAACTGCACGGCTTGTCGAGTCCGTTTAGGCTGTTGCCTCGACGAGGAACGGGGCGGGCACCTAAGAGTGATTGCGGCAGACAAGGGGCATTATGGCAGGTGGGCCATTGAGGCTGCAGCATCCGACATGTCCAGGGGCTCGTAATGCAAGGTGAAATAGCAATTTGCATTGTTGAGCGCCTCGCCTCCCTGCTCCTTTGCACTGCTCCCGCACGCTGAATCTGATCATTTCCTGCCCTAACACACCCCGGAGCTCCTGCAGCCAGACCATGGCTGCAGGGTTCGCTGCACCCGGCTCCAAGACCTGGAAGCGAATTGGAGAGCCCGTGGCGTCGCGAAGCACTGGTGGCCCGCAAGCCTGCACGACCTGCGGCGCCGGAGTGCGCTCCCGCAGCCAGAAGAATGCGCTTGCTGTCGGGAAAGACCAGAGGTATCCCGAACGCCTTGACACAGGAGCCACGGAAGCCGGCTGCGCCCTGTGCCCACTCACACTCGCATGCAAGGCAGGCCTTACTGTGGTCAGGATAGTCACATTCAGCGTTAGATCGGCATCGGTGTCCAGTCCGGCCTGTCGATCGCAAGAAGCAACGAGGATCCATGCAGCAGACGCTCCAAAATCGACCCTGGGCCGCATTACTATAGTGACAGTGTGCCTCCTGCATCATGTTGTCCAAATTCAGCTTTCGAGGGCCATTGTATGGAAGCCAGCTGCAATCCAGGATGGACTTCGTGGTCCAGTTCAGGCTAGTGACCGGTGCCGAACTGGCATAGCCTCGGCTGCAATCCTCCGGGATCTTGCAAAATAGAACAACTCAATCTGAGATTAGGATTGCCGGTCACTGCAGCCTAGGATGCCCTGCGCTTTGCGACTCATGCGACATCTCCGAAACTTGGCCAGAGCGCGATAGGGTGTCGCGAGCACGCAACTCTGGCGCTCTGCGCTTGGCTGCCCAACCTTCCAGAGGCGTTAGGACCCAACATCTGCAACTTGCTTCCCAGCTAGACGGACACGCTGCAACGACGGTACCCTTGCCAAGATGCCGTCACAATCAAGGACTCTGCGGTCGACGGCATAACTTTCACGTCGCCATCTTGGACGGTCAGCACTTGACCTGTCGCCTTTCGGACTCCCGACAGGAACAACCAAAAGCAGTCGCCTGCAGCATTGAAGCTGTGCCTCTGCCGCTGCTTGAAAGCTGAGATCACCTGGAGTCGGCTCCACCTCACAACACGTCCGATGCCCTGTTTTCAGATCTCCCTTGAACTCCGCAGACCTCCGGCCGTTGCCCCGGCCTCCTTCGGTACCAAGAAGGTGACAGGCAAGCTCTCCAGCAAGCCTGCGAGCATCTGCGAGCATGTGCGAGCATCTCGCGGATTCTGCGACTTGGTCTGAAGCCCTGTTGCTCCATAAGAGATCTGTGGCAGTGCTGGCAGTGCTCGCAACTTCTGTCGGGGCCTGCAACCAAAGCATAGGCCGTGACGACTGCCCCGCCGAGCACCTGTGAGCCGCACTCAAGAATCCCTTTTAGCCAACACTCACCGTAGAAATCCATCTAACTACTTGCAGCGAAAAGCCTGAAACTGCCCGAGGTAGTCGCAAAGCTTTGGCACTTCGGCTGCCCTTGGTTCGACGCACACTCTTCTCAGGCATGCTGCCACAGGCAGATGATATCTGGTATCTGCAAGCGTGACTGACAATCATCTAAGCGGCTGAATTAGTGACACACCGCTGCACTCGCTTGGGAAAGCCTGTCCGGACCATGCGAGCAATGCAGAATCAGCTTGAATTTGGTACTAGTACCAGCAGAGCTCGCGGAATCATCCATTACCTCAATGTAAATTAGGCAGTCCTGAAACTCTCGACAACACGAACAGTAACAAATGCAAACAGGAACACGTCAAACACATTGGGACTAGGTAAGGGGGCTAAACCGATGCTGTTGCTGTACTCGACCTCGTCGTCGGTAAAAAGGCACCAGTGGAATTAATGATGTCACCAAGACGACGACGAAGACGAGGACGAGCAATAAGAATAATAATCATCCTCCGGCGACTACAACTCCTACGACAACAACGAGGGCCACGACGACCACCACCACCACTACCAGCACCATCACCGCTACCATCACGATCACAAAACCACTGCCGGTCGAGTAAAGGCAAAAATGGTCATCGTCATCGCTGGCAAGGCCACCATCGTTGCTGTCGGCGGAAGTTTACTTGCTGCCCGTCCTCAACATCATCGCTGGAATCATCACCATCACCATCGTCTGAATCCTTTTCTATACACGGTAACTGCCCTCCGACCGCCTCAGGAGAAAGTCCCACAGATGGAGCTGCCGAGCGGAAGCGCTCCAGGAAGGCTGGCAAGCGCTTGTGAGAGGTGAGAGGGCCCAGTAATTTACGTCCGCTCAGGAAGCTTCATGGTGCATCAAGACGCTCAGGAACAGGATGACTTGGAAGCAAGTCTGCAGCGGTGTGAAGATGAAGACAAAAACATCCAGAAGACCTAGAGAACTCCAACTGTGCCTTCTTGGTTGCGGAATGCACATATTCCTTCCCAGTGCTCAGGAAAGCATCATCCCGCCTGTGCTGAGCGACGACACGTTGTGGGAGTCGATTTCCAGCAGAGTCGTCGAAGGATCCTTCCGGTAGAGTATTCAGCCTGGAGATCACTTCTGAATGAATCAAATCCAGGTGTCGCCTCCACCTGTCCAAGTTCAGCTCGAACCGAGAATAGCACACGAGCAGATGAGCTCCTGACCGACTGCAGAACGACAAACGACACCTTTATTGTGCTCTTGGGATGCGAGCCGTCTGCTGCCGGGGGTCGGCTGTATCAACTGGATCCGATGCACCTGACGCATGGCTCCTTAGCTTCACCAGCGGGTGGAAGCCGCACATTCTTTGCCTAGAACTCTCTGATGCTGCATTGTGTTGCCGGTCCGTCTTCGTTTGAGAACGGTGATCTTCCTGTATGCATGGCCCACCCCTCAGCCCTAATATCTAACCCTGATTCGCGCGTGTAGCATGTGCCCAATGGACTTGCAGGGCGTGTCCCCACTTGGTTGTGTAGCTGTTCGGCAGTTGTCGGCTTTCCACCCGTGTTCGTGGAGATGCCCATGGCAAACAGAAACAATGCCGATATACGAGTGAGCTGCACACCCCGATATTCCGCTTCAAATCTTGCCAAAGTCCCGACACACTAGAGTGCTCGCAATTTTTCGATCGTGGCCCCTAACTGAAGCTCCCGGACGTACATGCACCGCATTCCGGCTGCCAATGGACCTTTGGGGTGCGAAACTCACTCTCCTCAACCTCAGTCTATACCCCGCCAAGAGTGGCCTTAAACCTGCATGCTGCCCTCTCTCATGCAACAAGGGGAACGGAATTTAGCGAAACTTGGCGCCTTCCCTCTTCTCGGATCCACTCCCTCGCATCATCACGAACCAACTAACATCGGTCGAATCCTGAACGTTGCATGTATTGTGAAGAGGCTCGCTCACGGCTGCTCCCAGGAAACCTCAGTATGTGTGTTCTGTCGCTTGCATCACGGATGGCAAACAATACAAGACAACAGACACTCGGAGAGCACGACGATGTATTCTCTGGGTGCGGTCAAGAAACCACGAATCGCCAAGGTGCCAAGCCTCCACCGGCTCTGCTTGGATGATTGGTGCCTGTCGGACTCGATTTCACTGGCCTTGTGTGAATCTGTGTGAAGACTGGTTTACGTTGGTATTGTCAGGTTAGACGAAGGGCTGCTGAAACCAGGTTTATGCTGGTACATGTTGGTACAAGCACTGCCAGATGGCCACCGCCGCCGCCGCCACCACCACAACCACCACCACCACCACACGACGATGACGACGGCGGCGGCGGTGGCGGCGGCGGCGGCGACCACAACGACTGCGCCGACCCGGACCGCGCGACCCCGACCCCGACCACGACGACCACGATTACGACCACGACCCCGATCCTCACCCCGACCCCGAACGACCGACCGACCCACCACCCACCGACCCCGACGACACCGACCCACCAACCGACCGACCGGCCCAACCACCCACCCACCCACCGACCCACCGACGTGACGCACCGACCATCACCGACAGACCGACAGACCGACGACGACCACGATTGCGACGACCGTCGACCACGACGACCACAACGACGACTACGATGACCGACGACGACCACGACAACGACTACGACGACCGACGACGACCACGACTACGACGACCGTCGACGACCGTCGACGACCACGACGACCACGACGACGACCACAACGACGACTACGATGACCGACGACGACCACGACAACGACTACGACGACCGACGACGACTACGACTACGACGACCGTTGACGACCGTCGACAACCACGACGACCACGACGACGACTACGACCACGCCGACCACGACCACGACGACAACAAGCACACCCGCAACCACCAGCACCACCACCACCAATTTCAATTCAATTGAACGCTGCACGAGCGGGCCCCACGCATGGCGGGCATGTTGCCGCGCCAAGCACTCACTAGGTGCGAAACCGACCCGAAGATCAAAAGGATCAAAACATGGCTGAACCACTATAATGTGATGAGAACTGACCTGGCGACTCATGGTGACCGATCCACGCTGTGCTGCCTCGTACTGCTTAGAGTTACAGCCGGCAAGCACACGAGGCTCCCTCCCCATCTCCACCGAGCAGGATTGCCTACTGCGGCTGCCCCGTATCCGGTTGGACCGACGAGCACATGAGAGGTTTGGAAGACCTCCACACAGCAGGACCACGATCTCAGTGCAGAACTAAGACATGCGCTGTGTCCGGCAAGTAACTGTCAGGTACCTGTCAGTCAGTCAGGCAAGCATCGAGCAACCTGTCACGATGACTGGTGCGATCAGTCAGTCAGGCAAGCATCGAGCAACCTGTCACGATGAATAGCACTGTCCGTCCGGATCGGCACGTGCATATGCAGATGATCTCATGCTACTCAAGTCATTGGGACTTTGCTTTTTGACTGTGTCAATAGCAGCAGGCTCGGCTCAGTATTGGAACAGAGTGGCCCTCATCACCTTGTTGCGTGCAAATCATACTGATAAGTTGAACCTGCAATTGAACTAAGACAAGACTTGCCAGAGGCCCCACCGCGTGAAGCTTCGTTTTTTCCAGTTCCAGGAGCTGGATGACGAGGCTCCATAGTCCCCGGAAGTTTCCCACCAGTTTGGTCCGGACCAGCTGCGTCGCCTCCAGCTCGTCGCAGCAGTGTCCGATTGTTTCTTGTCCCTGCGGGTCGAGCGGAGGTACTGCAGCTTCGCCTGGGTGTCGCCGATTCTGTGATCAATCCGTAGTTTGTGAACTTGCGTTCCATCCCGATTGGGCATGTAGATGATCATGCTGTTAACAAGCCCGCACGAGCGGCAGGTCTGGTCATAGATGGATTTCATGGTGCAGGCCAGGATCTATCCAGGATCTCAAAGTTGCCGTCGGTCTCCAGAATTTCATACATCTTTTTCTGCTCCCAGAGACTCTTGAAGAGTGCGCCAATCAGGCCAAAGTAGCCCGTGAGGAGCGGCAGCTCTCTACAGGTCTCGCCGTGGCCCAAGGCAATGGTGAGTAGGCCATCGGCGCCTATTTTGAGCCTTGCAGCGAACTTGCTCGGAGGCAGTGAGCCCGCCTTTTCCTTGACAATCAAGATGGTGGCCAGTGCATGTATCCACTCGAACATCTGATTCCACTGACAGATTTGTGCAATGCGCTCACGCTTGGGGAGGTCAGCCTCTCTGTAAGCTAAGGCCCACCTTATAGTCCATCATGGCGCTGATCTCAACTGGCCGCGGTACTTGACATCAGCCACGGACGCGGTGTCAACGGTGAGAGCCTCCGAAGTCGCTGCAGGAGGCTTGTCCGATTGCACCGAATGCCGTTCCGCTCGAGCTGCTGCCTTAGCAGCTGGGCTCGTAAACGACACGTCATTGCTGTTGGAGGGGCCGTCGGTGGCTTCGTGTAGCTGCTGGACGGGGTGCGAGGGCCGGATTTGGGGTGTCTTTGACCGGGAGCCCAGCATCGGCGTTGGTGTGGTTGCTGGTGGCGCAGCAGGGGCCTTATCCGCAGCAGCGATCTCTTGTTGCGTGGGCAGGCATGCCCAAGACAAATCTTGCCTTGGAGACGCTCCGCGGAGATCTGTGTCGGCGGCGACCGGGTCTGCAGGATGGAGCAGGGAGCGGTTGCGTCGGCGCCTGCCCTCTCAGGGCTGCACGCCCTCGGTGAGTCGCTCCTGCACCCAGGCTAACATGGCCTGTGCGTGTGGTGAATTGGAGCGTACCGCCGATTGGAATGCTTTAGCGTCGTGCGGCAGAAGCGTGACTTTGGGACCCGGAAGCTGGATCCTGGCGGCCACCGGCAGGTGTCCTCCTTTTTTTTCCAGAAGTCACGGGACTAGACCTGTTGGCAGAGCCACCAGCCGTCGCGTCTCTAGTCATCCTGTGGGCCGCGGAGGCCTGCCAGGTGTTGCCGCTACATGGTGGGCACGGAGGAAAAAGGGTTAATTCCGGTTCGTCAGGCCGAGCCTCCAATGGTTCCAAGAAGCTAGGGCCTACCAGTCTGGGACCTCTCGAGACTTAGGAATTAAAATCACCCGCGATCAAGAAGGAATCGCGAACCGGGACCTGCTTGACACAGCGAGATACGCGGCGGAGAACTGCCGGTCTGTCCGACCGGGTTGGCCAGACATGCTGATAAACAGCAACGACCATGGTGCGGGCTGCCAATCAAACTGCACCTCCGGCACTTTTCCCTGTGCGTGTTCCTTCCACCTGCTGTTGAGCGGCGGGATGGAGGGGGAAAGCAACACCTTTACGCCGTCCGCCCTTGTCGTGGACGGGCCTGCGGTGTCACGTGAACCAGTGTTCGCTGCGGTCTTTTTGGGCCGAGCTCCCTTGGAACGAAGTTTGCGTTGGGCAGAGCCCCCCTCTGCCTGTGAATTTAGCCTTAGCTGGAGGCCTCTGTGACGGGGGAGACAGACGATACGCAGTACCATCCTGCTAACGCAGACTCCGCTGTTTCCTTCCAGTGCGCTCCCTGTAAAACCAGAACATCAAAGGTTAGCGAGGCTTCCGTCTTAAGCCAGGACTTGAGCTCCGACCACTGCTGCTGCCCAAGAAGAGGCAACATTCCACGAGAAAATCCAGATCTCGTCGGGCATGACCTGCTCGAGACCTTGGAGGGCGGGTTGCCTGCGAGCTCGTTCTCCGCCTGTGGAGGGCAGTTGTTGAGACGGCGCACCTGTGCCGGGCACAAGGACCTGACCTCGATAAGACACCGGCTGTTGCGTGGTGACAGCCGTTCTGCATGCATGTTCGAAAGACTTCTTCCGAATCTGAGAATAATTTTGTGAGCGCACTGGCAGCACTGCCGTCCGCTGATGTCGCCACGAAGCAAACTAAGTGACCTCCTCCACCGCGCGGAAGGTGGAAACCCTACCGCCTGCCCAGTGATCAATGCCTTAGACTGCGATTGGGTCCAGGAGTTGGGACCTGGCGGACCAGACCGGTTCAGTGAACACGGAGGCACATGGCTCGAAGAAGGGGCTCGATCCTTTACGTTGCCCTGCCTGGCTGAGACCTCTAGCAAAAAGAGTTGCGCCCAAATCCTGTTCGAAAGCCTCCTAACTGCACGTGCACGGCTGTCTGATCCGTGGCGGCTACCACCACCACCACCACCACAAACACAAACACAACCACAAGAAGAAGAAGAAGAAGCAGAACGAGAAGAACGACGACGACATCATGATCATCATCCCTGTCGTCTCTTCTGTCATCATCGTCGTGGCTGGTGTCATCGTCAGCGTCTTACAGTCACCGCTACGTATCTGCACACCATTGCCTCCACTCGTGTCGCCACGAAGAGCACACGAAGGTACCCGGGCGTAGTCCAAATATACCCAGGCTCCTCTACATTCTACGGAGAGGTGATGCGGGCTTTGCGAATAGCTTTCGACACTGGGTCTCCTTGGCACGCCACTCTATCTGGAGAAGGGTGGTTCTGTTGGGCGCCTGGCAGCAACCGACGCTTGATCTTCTGCATGCAAGCAACATCAGTCGGTCGACCTCCAAGTTCTCCGCAACCTTTAGCAGAAGTCCTGGCACAAACACGTGCGCCGAAGGCGTTCGATGCCCCAAGTGTTTGCATGTTGCAGAGCTAAAGCGGCACATGTTGACAACTCTGCTCTGGCCGTGTCCTCTGCTTGGCGGGAGCTCTGTCCAAGACGAGAAGCCCAAGGCTCCACGTTCTAGACGATACTGCAGCTGCAGCCTCAACTAGCTTGGCTGCCAACCACAGTGGACATGAAATAGAGCAGTTACATTGCATCTGTCGAGACACCCGGGAGTGTCGACCGGAACACCACTAACATCGATGTCGAAGCTCAACTCTTCCATTCCTCGAGGGGCCTCAATGCAGCTTCATCGATTCGCCAGTCAATGGCACATCATCTCATCCCCTGCCAAAGCCACCAAGACACGAGCCAAGCGTTCTCCTCAGCTGCAAAGCCTTCCAGTGGACTGTCCGCGAGTGCCGGCCACTGCAACGTCAGGCGCGCTCGCGCCTACGTCCGAGTACAGGCTGTTGTCTAGTTCAGAAGGGGTATCCCATCTAGTAGCAACATCTGACATCCAGCAATATCCTGCAAACAAACTGGAGGCAATGATGCCGCGAAGTACAGGCTTCATGGGGCCAGCGTGGTCACAAGCTGGACTAAGTCGCGCGATTTTTGGCGAGGTAACACCATCAGCGGCTGCTGCGAAGTATTTCTATCCTTTGAATCATGGCTTACAGCAGTCGCGCCTGGCCATCGATCGTGTAAGAGCACGTGGTTCGAGTACTTGAGTCGAATCCCAGCTTCTCGGCCCAGGCAGTGACCGTCACCTGACCAGGTCATATTCTCCACAAGAGCTCCATCACTGCAGGCTGGTATGCAGGTGAGAGGCCACCCCAGGCGTGTTCAGAACCAGTGGAGCAACGAAGGTAGCTTGACCACTGCTCCTTTTGAGGCATGCACACTGTTCCGGCTGTAGAATTCCAGGTTCTGGGAGAAAGCGCAGCAACCCTGCAGACATGAGCGAGACACCGTTGGATTTCGTAAAAGATCGTTGCATCCGGCTGCTGATCGAGGAGCAAGTCCACCTGCAGCTTCCCACATGCAAAGCACGACGATACAGGAGGGAACCAGTGGAGCCAGCATGCCTCAACCTGCAAGGCATAGGAGGTATCCGTTGAGAGGTCTCCGGAGACCACAACCTCGGAGCGATCTGCGTTGGGCTAGCCGTGCTAGTCGAGGGCAAACCCCTCAACCATCCTGCTGGCAGGCAGCGCATCGAGGCGGATTCATCTGGTCATTTCCGTAAAGCTCTACCCGACTCTCCAGGGACATTGTCCACATCGGGTGGCAAAGCACCGCCCGCACAATCACGGATTCCTGACGCCTCGCAACGGGCCAGAAGGATCAGGACCTCCTCAGCATCGCAGCCGAAGCTTCTGAGGGCCTGATGATGTCGAGCCCCGGCTCTGGAACATTGGCCGGCTCCTGAAAAGAGCCATTGCCATAGCCCAGCTCTGCTCGGTGCTCAATGATGCTGTCAGTTACATCCTCGTAGAGAAGCGACGTTTCGCAGGATGGAGCCTGTGGTGCGCTGCCGTACCTGGCGCTGTAGACTGGCGACGACAGAACATGTACCAGACATGACATGACCCAAGGCGCTCGTAGCGGATCGCCAGGAGCCACGGAGCCTCGAGGTCCTGCCGGATTCCGACGTGACTTCAAACAGCTGACTCGATCCACGCGCCGATTTCTGCGAACTGGCCTGGCCGGGTGGGAAGGAGAGGCGAACGCGAGTTCCCGCAGTGTGGTATGTGCCGTTTTCCAGATTGATCACCGGCGACTGTAGTGGCCCACCGACCGGAACGCACTTGCCCAACAGGTTGGGACCGTAGCCATCGGCGCAGCGACAAGACATCGCGTCCTGCACAAATGAGAGTGCAGCTTCAAAATTACACAACCGCTTAGGTGACGGTCGGCCCCACTCCCGTGTGGAATGCCCTGGCCTGCCGCGGCAGCGCGGATCGCGGCGCCTGCCACAATCGGCACTCTACATACAGGTATCCTGGACCCACCCCGAACGGAGGTCAGCGAGTTGCTTCTAGACGAGCCTGAAGGTAAACGACCCATCTAGGAAAGCATCAAGCTCCACAAAGAACCTCCCCGGAGCAGCGTGAACAGCTCAAGGAAGGGTCGGCATGGGCCAGGACTCGGCGGTGATGCAGCAAAGTTGGTTGATCGGCCTGCCACAAGCACATACAATGAAGCCTCTGAGTCTCGACGCCAGTCATCAACAGTAACATGTAGGCTGCTGCACTCCAACTTTTCCCACGCCAGTTTTTTGTGTGTGAAAGCACTTCAGCATT